GGCGTCTGAAGAGTCATACCACTGTGATTCACCAGCTGGACAGGGCTCTGGCAAAGCTGGGGATTGGCCAGCTGACTGCACAGGAAGTGAAATCGGTAAGAAGTTGATTGCTGTGTCAGCAGGGTCCAGGCTGGCCTACAAGCTTACAGGACTCCTTGTCTTGCTCTGTGTCTGGCTGCTTTAGCTGCTCTGATGTAGGATCTCCCTGTGGAGCCCTGGCTAGCCTCAAACTCTTTGTAGATGAGGTGAGCCTCGAACTAAGTGTTAGAATGACAGGCTCATGGTCCCCTCCCCAGCATCCCATGTAGTACAGGCTGGCCTCACACTTAAAGCAATCCTCCTGCCTCAGTCTTCCAAGTGTTGAGATTACAGGCAGAGCCACAACACCTGGCTCCAGGATCTTCTTTGATTTTATTTCTGTGGACTTCTTCTTAGTGAACATAGATAGTGAGGATGAATTTAAGAAGCAGGGACCCCAGGCAGGGTATGATGGGACATACCTGTGTCCCTAGCACTTGGGGTGAGCCCCAGGACCTGTTTAAAAAAAAAAAGTCAAGGACAATATATTTTAAGCCTGCTGTTTTAGACTATCTAGGTGTATCAGTTACAGCCTGCTGTTTTAGACTCCAAAGGAGTAGCCTTAAAAAAAGAGGAAAGTAGGTTTTTTGCTTTTTGTTTTTTGTTTTGGCTCACAGTCTTGGATGTTTTGGTCCTGATCAGTTGTCCCTGCTGGTTTTGGTGCCATAATGCAGCAGTGCATCCTGGGAGTATGTGGTGAAGCCAAGCTGCTCATCTCCTGTCAGCTGGGCAGTAAGACAGGAAGAGGAGGGCTAGGATCAGCAGTGCCCTTCAAGGGCAGGAGCTCACTGACCAGACACCTCTCACAGGCTTCATGTTTTAGCTCCTCCCCCTGCCTCCCAGTAGCACATTGCTGAGGCTGTTGGTAACCTGGGCGAGGCCCAGACTGGAATGTGCACGTAGGCCTCGTGCATGCAGCACAGCACTCTACCGGGGACTCAGCAGAGCGTGTGGGCCTTGGCGGGACGTGCAGCAGTAGACATACTGATTTACCATCTACAGTGTACACGGCGTGCTGTGGGGATGAGGTGGTGGCTTATTCAGGGGACTTCTACTTGTGTGGCGAGCGAGCTGTGATTGTTACGGATGTCTCTCTTCCGAGTCCCACAGGCTTGCTATCTTCGCGGCTTGAACTCCACCCACGTCGCTGATGACAGGTGCCGGACCTGGCTGGGGGAATGGCTGCACATCTCCTGCAGTCTGAAAGGTAAGGCAGCCTCTGCGGCTGTGCCGCCGAGATCTAAGCTTTCAAACAAAACAAACACCACAATAAGAGCCAAACAAACAGAACACAGGGGCTGACTGTGCAGCTCTGGCTGGTTTGGAACTCACTATGTCTAAGATTGGCTTTGAACTTGTAGCCATTCTCCTGCCTCTACCTCGTGATTGCTGGCATCATAGTCAGTGCACCACCATACCTAGGTCATTTTGTACTTTGTCCCAGGATTCCTATTCCTTAGGTATTATGAAGTTTTTACCTAACACTATACACACACACACACACACACATGAACTATCTATGTATAATACAAAGGGAACTCAGGAGCCTACTGCATGGGTAGGCACAGCGTAGACTGTAAGACAGAGGGCCCGCTTCCTGCTTTGAGGCAGTGCTTCACAGCCTGGGTGCTGTTGGCATTTGTCTGGGGCATGCCTTGTGTACAGCAGGGTGTTTAACATGCACACTCGTCTATACCCATTCCATGCCAGCCCCAGCACTGATCTCTCCAGACACTGTCGGGTGTTCCTGAACTCGGGTGGGGAGGGGAAGGGACACAAGTGTCTTGAAGCCAAGCAATGTCCTTACAAGCACCAACTTCTACCGTGAGGTAGGCGGCTGCCATCATGTGAGAACCGAGGCATGGTAGATAAATAGCAGAAGCGGAGAAAAGTGTGCTTTCAGGGACTGGGGTAAAAAGGGACTGCAGAGGATAGCCTTGTGTTGCCGTCCTCCCTATCCCTGGCTCTGTCCCCAAGGCAGTTAGAAGGAAGCTGTCCCCTAGCAACCACTAACTCTGATGGTGTTTTCAGAACCCGAGCTGTCCCTCTTGCTGCACAACGTGGTCCTGCTCTCCACCAACTACCTTGAGACAAGGCGCTGAGTGAACCGCGGCGAGGATGGCATTGTCCTACAGTCGCGTAGTGTAGTGGTGTGGGACCAAGGAGCACTTGCCAGCCATCTGTGCGCACTGGTGTGGGAGGCCGAGGAGCAGGCTACCCGTCTGGGAGCTCTAGACATTCCCTCACAGCTTGAACCTAACACGCTAACCTGGAACTGGCAAGCACCTCTGGTACTAGACTTCTATTGTGATGTAATGCTTAGGTCCTATAAAGTCAGCGTTTGCCCAGGTGGGAATCATGTGGCCCAAAATTCACAACTGACATGGTGTTGTTTTTATTTTTGTTTTTATTTATTTTTATTTTTTGAGATGAGTCTCTGTTGTCCAGGCTGGCCTCAAATTCCTGTGGTCAAGGGATCTTCCTACTCCAGGCTTCAGGGTGCTGGGTTACAGGTCCATATTGCACTGGCCTCACTGCCATGTTCTCTACAGCCGAGCGTTGTTTTCCTGAGATGCTATGTCTCATGTAGCTGACGATGACCTTGAAGTCTGATCTTCCTACTTCTGCCTCCCAGGTACTGGGATACAGATGTGGAGCTCTACGAAGCTCTGGGTATTGTCTTGGGAAACTAGGTGAATGCTCCTCAGAGTCTTTTGCACTAGAGATCCCTGGTGCCAAGAACAGTGCAGCTTACCCTGGAGTGAGGACACCTGTGCCTGGCCCTGCACCAACGCCCTGGCAGTGGTTTTTCTTACACCTCCCCACCTTTTTCTTTTTGGCCTTTTTGAGAGTTACTATATAACCCAGGCTGGTTTTCGATTCCTGGCAATCCTGACAATTCTGTCACAGCCTCCTGGGGACTGAGAATATAAGCACGAGCCACACCCACCCTTTCTGGTGAGACCAAAAGTAGGGACGTTTTTTCCTCGTCACTAGCATGGACTAACTTCCACCCCTCCTTTCAGTATTCTCTGGACACTTTTTTTTTCTTTATGGGAACATTCTAAAGGAGGAGGTGGGAAAGAACAGCTACTTGGCCCTCCCTGCGTCTGTCCCCAGTGTCTTACTTTCCAGGCTGTCACACAGCCCCTAAGGACCTTACGTTTGCTACCTCCACTGTGTTGCACTAAGCCATCTGTAACCAGCAGTGGCTGCCTTCTTTAGGCTGTGAGTCAAAACGCACAAGGCACTAATTACTGCCCAGCCCTGGGAGACCAGGAGATTTGCATTGAGATAGTGAGCTGGGTTTAACTGTTGTGTGTACATCTATGCCCTGTAGTTTTTGTAGTAACTTACTGTATGTAAATGCATGAAGCACTGTTTTTAAACCCAAGTAAAGACTGCCTGAAACCAGTTTTTGGGAATTACTTATGCACACTCTACTCACTCTCCTAAGGCTTCTTTTGTAAGAGTGACATAACCTCACTAATGGGTATTTAACTGGCCAGAACAGAACTCTCTGATGGGATGGAAGGACGTCTGGAAGGAAGCGTGTAAGGATCAGACACGCTGCAGTGGTAACCAGGGTTTGAGAAAATCGTGACCGCAGACGGCAGGGGTCTGACAGGCCAGTCTATCTTCGTGAAGTGGAACATAAGGAAATCTCACAGGACAGGTTTTCAGTGCTTCATCAAAAGCAATGATTTGCATTTCTATCACAGAATATTCCTGTCACTGACATTAGTTCCTGATGACCTGGTTAGCTCTATACACAGCAAGAGAAGCACCTCTCTTACCTGCAGCAAGATAAGGAACCCCACATCACTCTTTTCAATATTTCTTTAATATTACATTTAAATATTCTCTTTAAATACAGCATTATTACAATGTAAAGAACCTAGAGAGCGAGAGTTGTCTCCAGAGAGCCAGACAAGCTTTGGGTTCACACTGAGAGTCCGGCCTGTGTGCAGAATCTGAGGAGACAGCGTCCAAGAGCTGCAGCAGTGCACCACAGTTCTAGGCCTCGGCTGAGGGACTGGCTCTGCCTCTGTGACACAGGCCCAGCCTTCCTGGCAACCAGGAACCATAAATTCTGTCCAACTCAGGTAGCACCAGAACTGAGATGGACTAAGTTGTAGAAGAGGTCCTTTGCTTGACATTAGTCAACGCTAAATTTAGCACTCAGAAGTTGGGGTCAGTTTGAATCAACATGTTATGAATGAAATGTATTTAGAATAAGAAATTAGTTATATAGAAATATCAAATATCTTGGGATTGCCTAGTCTTCATGTTTCTTAATGAAAATTCAAATCTAAGGGCTAAGAAAGTTGGAGTCTTAAGGAGGGAAGGGGCTGAGTCCTCTCCTGTCCAACAAACTTTCAAAAAGATTCTCTTTCCATCAACAGTCCCAGCTAAGCTTGATCCTTTGAGTCTGAGAGTTCTAGCCAGGGGTGAGAACACCTTGACCTTTTCAGATGACTCTAGTGAGACTGGAAAAACAGCTTATGTACTTACTCCACCACCCCCCCCCCCCCCAAAAAAAATAACCAAGCAAACCCAAGGAAGGACAATGGCAGAATGGGCTAAATACCAGCATCCATGTTAAATACGAGGTCCTCCGGGATTAGGATTTAGGGAGTTTTCAGATGTTTCTGCTGCCATATACATTGAAGTTGTTTATGACACTAGGGTTTAATTATCTCACAAAAATAAATAAATAGATAAAACCAAGTGAAGAGATGCACACCTGCAGTCACAGCACTTGGATGCATGATCAGGAGGGCTGCCACAGGCTGGAGGCCAGCCTGGTCTACATACCAAGTCCCAGGCCAGCCAGGCTATGTAGCAATACACTGCCTATTAAAAAAAAAAAAAAAAAAAAAAAAAAAAAAAAAAAAAAAAATCTTTCTCCTGGTTGGTAAAGAATGATAAAGAAAAAAGTGTTTTGCTCCTCCTGCCTCCATCTAACCAGGAGGCAGAGGTAACATTGCCAATAAAAAAGTCAGTGCTTTTTTAATAAAATAATAAAAAAGTCGGGACTTCCCGAGCTCAGGAAAGGAGCAGCACTTCTGCTGAGGTAAGTGTTGAGTCTGAGTCCCAGGCACCCACTTCATTATTATAATGAGATCCGGATCATCTGGAATTGGGGCTCCTACGTCATAACTAAGAAGCAGTCTGACTTCCAGTTTTCATGAATTTCCAAGATGGAAGGTTCCAATAAACACCTGCCAGTCTTGGGACTGAATTGTAAACTCCAGAGAGCTCTCCAACCCCACAGAGCCAGCAAGGACCGTGGGGCGGGTAGAGAGGGAGGGCCCTCAGTCACGATGACCTGTACTGCAGTTTACATTCTATTCAGAGCCAAAACCTCCCAAAAGGAGAGAGGGAAGGAGGGAGGGAGAGAGAGAGACAGAGACAGAGACAGAGAGAGAGAGAGAGAGAGAGAGAGAGAGAGAGAGAGAGAGAGAGTGTGAGTGAGTGAGTTGCACTTGGTGAGAGAGCAAGATGGACAAAGCCACCTTCCACTGTACTGCAACACATATGAGAAAGAATTCAGGTACAGACCAGGGATCCCCAGTTTGCACATCAGGTCAGGGAACACCAAACACGTTGGAATTAACTTATTACCAGTTAAGGAGGTGGGGGTGGGGTGAGGTGGGAGGCAGAATAAGCACTTAGAGCTCTTGGGAGTTTTGTACAGAAGCAGAGACTCTTCTGGGTTTCCCCTCCATTCCAGACTCAGCAGAGGCCTTTCCTCTAGCGAGGCTGCTACGAGAAGACAGGGTGTCTGAGGAGCCGCGTGCAGTGCAGGGAGCTGCCCACATCCTTGGTTCTGGCACCAGGCATGAAGAGCTGCTCACTCGAGCTGCCCAGCTCACTCTGGGATTGACATCTCTGTTCTGGTGGCCCAGAGCGCACAGCAATGGACACTGCAGCTGGGGCTGGTCTCCTGGGAACGCTCTCTCGGAAAACACATGAACTAACAATCCTTCCTACCCATTTTCCTAAGACTTCCAACAAAATAATCTGGGAGCAGCAGTCCTGTTTTGAAATGGCGTTAGATAATAAATAGAGAATGGACAATGTATCTCAGGTCACACTGCCAGAGGGAGTTCTAGGGCTGAGTCTTCAGGGGTCCGGTCCTCACTCTGCTGGGAGCTCTGCACTCCACAGCTGTCTTCATTGTCTGTTTGGAAGGGTAGGCTTGAGGGAGACCAAGAGGGATGGAAGTCTTCACTCTCGGGCTCCTTACGGTTACAGTCATCAGGCAGAAGTTTGTTGAGATTGGGTGTTTTCCCCACCTCTGGTTTACAAAGAGCAGCTGAGTCTGAAGGGCTGCAACCCACCAGTGAGGTAACAGGGAGGGAGAAAACACTCAGATCTTTCTCCTTGGGGAAGGAGGCTGTGCCTTCTTCTGAACCCGACTCTGCTTTCACTCCCACGACAGGCCTCTGCTCTACTTGGTAGTACACCAGAGGTCCACTGTTCAAGTAAGACGGGCTGCTCATCGGGGAGGCAGCTGGGTGCTCTGAGTTCTCAGTAAAACACAGGACTGAGGAACCTGGGGGCAGCTGAGCCTGAATGAGAATAGGGGCCGCGAGGCCTGGACACAGCTCTTGGGGAACAGCCAGGGGTTCCTCCAGGATGCACACGCCCAGGCTCTCCATGCTGGAGTCCAGGCTAGCACTAGAGCCGCTCGAGTCCTCCTCGGCCTTGAGCCGCTCCAGCTCCTCTGCACTCTGCAGATGCATCACTGCAGTCTCGTTCTCTGCGATGAACTCCTGGAAGTCCTGCGTCTCCGAGCTCTGTGCTCCCGGCAGGGGCTCACCCTCAGTGGCTGCTGGGCGACTACCCTGCCGCTTGCTCTCTAGCTCCAGCTTCATGATGGTGTGGAGGTAGTGAGTCCGCACTCGGATCGGATTAAACTCAATCCGCCCAGCCATGTTTCCACAGCCGTCCCTGGAGCAGCCACAAGGAAAGGACATCCGATCCACCTGAGGGGAGCACAGGAGGTTGTGGCAAGGTAAGACTGACAGCTCTGACAGGAGAGACAGGCGACATCAGCTGGCACACACAGACAGCTGGGATTTGAGAAGCCACCAACTCAACACATGACATGCAGCTCGAGCTAACTTAGTTATCAGACTGCCCGCACGTCAGCGCCAGCTCAGCCGTTAATTAGTGGCGGCATCTCAGGAGAGTCATTTATTTTCTCCCCTGGGCTTTGTTTCCTTTTCTAAATAAAAAGACAAGAATGGCATCAGAGGCTCCTTTCCCTTATCAAGTCTAGTGTTCCCTCTGAATGCTGACATCTCAGGGTAGAAGAGGTGTGTGCCTCAGGAACTTCCAGAACTTACCTGGCTCACTGAGACAAAAGGCTGGGCCAAGCCTTCCGCATGACAGGCGTGAAGTGAGTGGAGATCTTGCTACTTCAATGCAATACACTCTAGGGAAACTAAACAAAGGGGCCTCAGTGCTCGGGCGCTAGCCTGAAGGCCCACACTGTGGCCAGCACCTCACCACCTGCTTCTCCCTGAAGGTCAACTGGCGTAGTTTTGAAGCAGTGGGCAGAAGCATGATTACTTACAGCCAGGGATCTCTGAAGGGAGATGTGCTGGCATGGAGGCACATGCCGTTAATCCCAGCACAGAGCAGGAGAAGGCTGAGGCAGGTGAATGTGAGTTTTGAGGCCAGCCTGGGCTATGAGGTGAGTTCCAGGCCAGTCTGGGCCACACAGTTTTAAGGAAGGAAGGAAGGGAGGGAGGGAGGGAGGGAAGGAGGGAGGGAAGGAGATGCTTTCTGCTTCTTTCTCTCTCCTTAATACCAAAAAACAAAACTTAGAAAAATTACACAGCAAACAGTGAGACTACATCTTACGGAGCTCTTCTCCTAGACCCAAGGCATGGTGATACACACCGGGAATTCCAGAACTTGGAGGTGGAAGCAGGACCAAGAGTTCAAGGTCATCCTTGGTCATAAAGCAAATTCAGTTCCTGACCAGCCTGGAATGAGACTGGTTCCCCTGCCCCAAAAGAAAGCTTTCTCCAGTCCCACCAATTCCTAAAACTCTTCTCAGGTTTGTGAATAACTGGCTGAACATGAGACTTTGGGAAAGAAATGTTGGCCGGCTCTACTACAGCTCTTTGTTTCTAAATAAAGCCAAGGAGAGGAGCTAAGGGCTCAACTCAGGACTACTCAGCATGAGGTTCCACGTAGTTCACTGTCTGGGGCACTGAGGGTTTCCAGTGAAATGGGAATTTCAAACAGTCTCTTAGAATGCAAACAGGAAGATACTTTGAGGAAACTAAGGATTTAAGTGTGCCAGCTCAGGTCTGGTCCTGAATTAGAGAATCTCAAAGCTACTGTGATGTTTAGAGTTGGGAAAACATGCTGCACGTGCAGACAGTTCACAGGTTACCTCATTCTGTGTCCTTTTACCTCACAGAATCCCTACTATCCGGACACTTAGCTAATGTAAGCACGGTGGCCATGCTCTTCCCTTTGCTGCTGCTGCTTGTCTCCTCTGAGGTAGACAACAGAAAAGACAGCAGTCACATCCACAGCTGAAGAACCTGCCCTGCTTGTTTTCTCTGGGAGGGCTGAGGAACCGGAGCACATTCTCAGCTGTGGGTCCCTCAGCCCTGATGGGAAGCTTTCAGTCTTCCCTGGCACCCAACCACATCCCCGATCCTGGTGTATGACTGACCTGGCATTTAATCCCAGCCTGGCTACAGGCACACGCTTCTGGGTCACAGTATAGCCGACAGTCACAACCACACTCTTCCCGAGATAGGCGGATGGCTCTAAGTTCTTGCTTCTCTTCGGCATCAATCCGGTGGACCCCAGAAGCCCTCAGCAGGGCCCGCCGCCGCTTGGTGGGCAGGGGCTGAAGGAAGAAGTAATCATCCACCTCCACATTTTCCACATCAATATCTTCGTCTGAAACATCATCAAGTGTCAAGCCATCGGCCTCCAGTGACTCCACGGTCCCGTTCTTCGTCAGCTGCCAGGAGACAGGCAAGGTCAGCTTTAGAGCATTGGCAACAGTGACTAGAGTCACCTGAGTTCTTCAGCAACAGGAGCCGTGCTGTCCCACAGCTGAGCACCAGAAAGGGGAGACTGAGGAACTAGGTTTTATTTCATTTTATATTTGAATAACCAAAATAATTAATGGTTGCCATACTGGACTGTATAGGACATAATTAAAAAGCCAGAGCCTTCACCTTTCTGAGTTCTAGGTCCTCAAACACCAGTCTGCCAGGTGTGGCAGCACAGAGCTGTCACTCCAGCTGTTTAGGAAGGAGAGGCTAGGGACCTGAGCAGCACAGCAAGATCCTGTCTTAAGGGATATTTTAAACACAACACATCTTCTCTCCCAGAAGTAACATTTCCACAATGTTCCCTCCGTTACAAACTGTCACCTGCATTGAAGCTAATGGTGGACCGGTGGCTGGGTGTTGGTTGCTCAGCGATACTGGCAACCTTGCAAAACGCCTTCAAGTTGATCCCTGGAGAACCCCAAACTACCTTCAGAGAAAAGGAGTAACCTGGAGTACAGCACCAGCTTCCCCGGTGTTTGTCAATGGAATGCCCACACTGCAAATCATCACCTGTTTTCAGAACTGCATCCCACTGTTAAGGGAGGGCAGCTACTGTTAACAATCATGAACGCCACTTCCAGCACAGGTCTAGAAGAAGCGTGTACGTCCCTCCTCCTAATCCTTGTTTATCTGACTTCAAGGAAAACCGGTGTGAGGCAGGGCAGTGTGAGAAACACTGTGTGTGCTCTCTATGAGCAGAAGCACATGGCATATGGCAAGCATATGGGGTTTCTGCATGAAGGTGGACAGAAAGCCAGGCAGGGCTTGTAGAAGGACAGGCTGGAGACAATCTCTGGCTGAAGGAGTCCTTCAGACTCAGTAGAGGATCTAAGGAAAGAAAATGAGGCCCAGCCCCTGGGGCTCTGGAAACTGCTAGCAGGCTGAAAGCCCAGTAGCTGGAGTCTGCAGCTTATTTCATCAGACACCCACAGTGCTGGGACAGGAACAGCTCCTGAGAGAGAGAGATGACACAACAGGCCTGAGCCACTGTGAGCAGTATACCTCACAGCTGTGGGGAGCTGGCTGAGTGGGGCTTACAGGCTTCCAAGCCTATTACCTGCACACCAGGCAATCACCTGCCATATTATCTGTACACCAGGCAAGCAACTGCCAGGCTCCTTTGTGTAGACCTTAGGATTGTTCCTGTTTGTGTCACAAAACTGGCTTCTCCCCAGCACTCCTGCTGTTCCCAAAGGAAAGCCATCAGAAGTAGGAGACTTCAGGTCTCCACAGAGGGACGTTTCAGAACAATGTATCCCAGTCATCTAACAGTGCTGGGACAGCTAGATATTCTGGGGAGGGAAAAATTAAGGCCAGGTATAGTGGGTGGCTCATGCTTAGTAATCCCGGCACTTAGGAGGTGGTAGAGGCACGAGGGACAAAAGCTCAAAGCCATCCGCTGCTCCACAGCAAGTTCAAGGCCAGCCTGAACTCCATGAGACCCAGCCCAAAACAGAACCAGACAAAACCAACCACCACCCAATCCAAACTACTTATGATAATAAACCCCATACGGATAAAGCAAAACTAAAATATTAGAAAATGGTATGTAGTGAAGGCTACAGCGCTCTAACCATTGACTGTCAGGGACCCAAAGGGAAAGAAGTATGGAATGGCACCCAAGAAATGCAGTGTGTATGTAATTCCCAGACTGTGCCTTTACAGGTGCTGAGGAGGAAGGCAGGATCCCGCCATCCTCTGCCAGAACCACATGCTCAGTGTGTCCTGCTTGGGACACATCCCAACGCTGCCTCTCACATCACTCCTCCACCTCCCGTGGGGTAGCCATCTTCTAGGAAAGGGACAGAGAACCTTCACTGCAACTAAGAAGAATGTTTGTCTAGCTGTTGCTATAGCAACAAAAAGGTGACAGGGTCAGGGATGGAATTCCTCAGAAGAAAGGAGAGCCCGAATGTCACTGCTGTTAGAGTGACAGGTATAAGGCCTTGGGAGCAGGCTGAGAGCTCGCAAGGAGTGAAACTGGCAAGGCCTGGTCAGTCTTACACCCTCCTGCCACCGCTGCCCAACCTGGCCAGGCCTCAGTTTGTCTACACCCTAGAAATAATGCAGCTACCTCATGGCTGGGTCCAGAAACTCACTCTTATCCACATTCTCTAACCCGAGGCTTCAAGCACACTAGGTGAGTGCTCTAACCACGGGGCTGCACCCTCATTGCTGGGAAATTTGAGGACTCTTAGAAACCCTGATAGTGTCAGTAGTGCTAAGGCAGGACATGGGTGTCCGGAATGAGTCTTCTGAGGCTGTCAGTGTCGTGTATGTAGTAGGTGGGATTTTTTTTTTTCTTAAAGACTGATTTATTTGGCCAGATCTGGTAGTGTATGCCTTTAATACCAGCACCTGGGAGACAGGCAGGCAGATATCGATCAGTGACCTGAAGCTACCTGGTCTACATAGCAAGTCTGGTCCAGCCATGTGAACCAGCATGTGAACACTGTGGATCAAACCCAGCAGTTCCCTCCATAAGCCACAAATGCTCTTCAGTGCTGAGCCGTCTCTGCAGCATCTACTGGTGTCCGTGTCTATGACTCTAACCATGAAATAATGCTACTCTCTGCACCAAGGTGACTGTGTTAGCCCACCAGGGTGACAATGTGCAGATCGAAAAGGGCTGTGAAAGGTTCGTCAAAGACCCAAAACCTGTTCTATTCAGAACAACCACTGAGATCTGTGTTTTCTGGGTGACAGACCTAAGAAGCTTTGAGTATTCACGTCATGCTTTAAAAAGCATTCTTGTGGGCAGTGGTGGCGCACGCCTTTAATCCCAGCACTTGGGAGGCAGAGGCAGGTGGATTTCTGAGTTCGAGGCCAGCCTGGTCTACAGAGTGAATTCCAGGACAGCCAGGGCTACACAGAGAAACCCTGTCTCAAAAAACCAAAACAAACAACAACAACAACAACAACAAAAAAGCATTCTTGTGACAAGAAGGGGACTGTGCAGAGAAAGCAGTTTTTATCTCTGGTTGACACTGCCACCAGAGAGGACAGGAGGAGACCGTATTTGAAAATCTGAGAGTTTTCACTGGAAACAGAGCTCACACTCTCTGCTTGGCCAGAGCAACAGTGCAGTAGCCAGCCTCACTGGACACTCAGGAAGCACCAGACCCCATGTCCCACAGGCACCTTCATTTTCTTGGCATGAAGTTTCTCCTCCTTCAGGTGCTCACGAAGAATCTCTCTATGGTTCACCTCTTGCTCTTGTGCAAACTCACAAAGGGTGTAGCTGCGTACAGAGTTGTGGCGTTGGGCCATTCCCAAAGAGCTTCCACCCTGGCTGGGCACGCTGGTGAAGCCCTGTCGCCGGGCGAAGTAGTATACAGTCACCTGGTCGAAGCGGACGCTCTTCCTCCGGAGCTGCTTCTGTCGCTTCAGGATGGATGTGGCTGTGAACGGAGCAGACGGGTGTTACTCCAGAGACGGCGAGCTCAGGGCCCTCGCCTGCCCTCAGTCACCCAGGCTCTTAACACTCGCTCACTCTCCAGACATTCAGCTATTTCCAAGTCTTAAGTCATATGCAAAACTGGAAGGAACTTTGAACCTCAGCTGGTTCATCCCACTGCCTCCAGACTGACTTCATCTAAATAGCTGGCCACAAGATCTATTTTTAGACAGCAACTGGGGAGTGGTAGGTGTTTATTTCAGGAGAAAAGAAAATTGCCATGTGATAATTTAAACTAATTAAAGCTAAATTTTAAAAATTCGGCTCCTCAGTTTGTACTTCAATAGCCACATGCGACCAGTAACTACCGGTGGACTATACTGACAGGAACATTTCTACTGCAGAGGAAAGTCAACGGGACAGTATTCTTCTATAGTGGGGATTTTCTCTAATCAGCCTGATGATAAATATTTTAGGCTTTTTAGGCCATGAGGTCTCTGTTGCAACCACTCAAGCATACCACTAGTGCATGAAGACAGCCACAGCGATGGCCTGATGGTTGCAACGAAACAAACAGGCCTGACCCTCGCTCTCAGAGCCTCCTTATAGGAACAGCCTGAGAGCTGGGAGATGCCACTGTGCCCAGGACAGGTGCCATTGGAAAGGCTGCCAGTGTGCCCTGCTGGACAAGTGGCACCGCTCAGGGCTTTCAGTTCGGGCTTCAAACCCTAGGAGATCTATGGGATGGAGCCAACAGGACTCAAGACATATAGAGGCGCCCAGTGTCCAAACAACCATTCACTCCTGCTCCAGCTACAGGTCTGTGAACCCCTGGGCAAGTCCCCTGAGGTAATAGGAGAGCTCTGAGCTCCTCTTCCTCCACCAAATCCCAATCACCAGGGCACCAAACTACAACACAAGTAGAATAAATCACACTTTAGCCTCTGCTATCAGAGCAGTGACGTTTTCCAAAAACAAGGGCATGTCGTGGAAAGGGTACAGCCCCAGGCTGGCTCCAGGGCTCTCTGAGGAATGTGGGATCAGGCCTGGGGAGCAGCTCACTCACGTGTGAAGCTGGCAGTCGTGGGAGGGTTAAGGCTGTCGCAGCTGTCCGCGCTATCACTGCTGGACATCTCATCATCTGAGTTGGAGACGGACGAGCCCACGTCCACATCATCGAATTTCCTCTTGAGGCCTGAGCCCGAGAACGCATCCATTGGCTTCCAAAGGTTTCCTTGGGGAGCCAACCTTGATGGCCCCAAGCTGCTCACCGCCAGCTAGCCAGGAGCATTGAGGACTCTGCCCAGGGGAGAACAAGAGTCAGCAGTGTGGCCCGAGACAGCGCTGGAAAGTCTGTCAACACAGCACGCTCATTGCAGTCAAGCTGAGCAACTGGCCTGGCACTGAGTCAGGCTTCCTCAACCAGGTCTTTCTTTGTCGGCGCTAGCCAGTGCTCTCTTACTTGCTTCCTTTCAGCCCTTTAGACCACGGTTACTCTTAGAACAACCAGTTTGCAGCATCACCTTCCAAGTGGAGGGATGGCCTTACTTTGAATCCTGCTGGCCACAGGAGTCACTGGCCCAGGCTACCACTCACTGCCCTTCTGATCACACAGGAGAGCACTCCAAGGTGTCACTGGGAGACTAGATCAGAAACAGCATAGCCTTTGCCTAAACCAAAGCCAGACCCACATGTTAATCCCAGAGATAATATAGTCTGGCATGTCCCCAGGAGTACATCTTAAATACACCAGTTCCTTGGATATTAATAGCCTTTTGAATGAGAATAGGGCTGCTGAGTTAAGATAGTTTGGACGGCTACTTAAACAGCACCTATTAGGGGTTCTTAATACACTTACCATCATGGTAAAGGCTAGAAGGAAACAGTGCAGTGTTTCACAACCTGATTATGGAACCCACTGTTTCCAAAGTATGTTAGGGGGCAGATAATCTCTGGAACACACTTCGGGAAATTGTGTTCCAGGCTCTCAATTTTGAAGGACATTGGCAGTCAGGAAAACCCTTGACCCAGATCTTTGTAAGTGTGAAGTGTCTCATCAGCCTCCAAGAAAGGGCAAATTTAGTACTAAAGAAAGGAGCCAAGATTAGAATCTGTACTGGCTTCAAAACCCAGAAATCGGGGCTGTGGGTGCAGCTCAGTGGCTGACGGCTTGCCTGGTGTACGCAAGGCCCTGGGTTCGATCCCAGCACCACACTCGAAACAGAAACCAGATTCTCTCAGTCTTTCATGGTCTCTCATCATTTTCTGTGCACAGAGGAAAACAGAGCTTTTCTCTGGCTTCTGAAAAGAAACCATCAGAGCAGGAAGAGAATTACTCTGGCTACACAGACACAGCAGGCACGGCCTTTCTTTCTCCACTTTTGGACGGAAGCTCCTAAAGGACATGAATCTGTCCAGGAGAAAGGCTGAGAGACGTCCCATACAGGATGACCCACCATGATTTCACTAGCTGCTAATTATGCAGAAGGATTAACAGCCTGCCCAGAACATGCAGACATGACTGCATTACTGCAGAGCTGCTACCCAGATGCACTGTGGTGACAGGAGGCATTTGCTACATCTGGATTTTCTGGTCTCCATCTTTTAGTAGCAATTCAGATCAGCTCTACAAAGTTAAACCAAACCTGGTGGGCGCTTTGGGAATTTCCTAAAATATCTACTCAGATCACATAAAAAAAAATCCTGCATTTATGTCACAAAATGAACCCAAGTGCCTTAACTTTCAAACAAGCACATCCTCCGTGTAAGTTTGGCTAAGAAGAAAAATTAAAGTCAAGAGCTTGTTAAGAATTATAATCAAGGCTGGGACATGGTGGCATAAGCATTTAATCCCAGCACTTGGGAGGCAGAGGCAGGTGGATCTCTGTGAGTTTGAGGCCAGCCTAGGCACATAGTGAGTTCTAGGACAGCCAGGGATACATAGAACCTGACTAAAAATATTTATATTTAGATAATTAAGGGCTGGCAGTCAGCAGCTGAGAGTGCTAACTGCTTTTCCAAAGGACCGGGGTTCAGTTCCATCTTCCAACCCTCTAAGTCCAGTTCCAGGGAATCTGAAACCCTCTCCTGGCCTCTGCAGGCACCATGGTCCACAGGCACACATGTAGATTAAAAATGCCATTACACGTAACATCTAGGAGGTTTTCAAAGAATCAAATGAGTCCAAATTATGAGCTGAGTTCCCAGGGTGTGCCCACAGGTCACGTTGGGAAAAGACAAGAGGTAAGAGCGTAAAGAGACTCTTTATGGTTTAAGATCTTAGCTGGGCTTAAAGATGACACCCTTCCAGCTAACAAATGTCTCATTCCATTCTATTTTGGGTGAAGGAGCACTGGGGGTGGGGGGGCACCTTTGTCATTAAATATTCATGTGGATACTATAGCGGAAAGGAGAATGCTGTCTGTTGAATTCCCCTCCCCCATGCCTTCTCAACTACATGAGAAACCAACACCGAGCAAAAACCCGTTTTCTTGGAAAAAGCTCAAGTGTCCCTTCAAATTTAACTGAACTCTAGTTAATACTTCTAGAAAAATGGTGGCTCCTCAGCCTAGAAGCACTCAGGGACTTATGATTGGAAGCAAATGTACGCTCTGTCCCTTTCCTCGGGGTCCTCTGCTTCTGGTCCTGTGGATTTCCTTTAATTATTCTTCTTTAAGTCTCATGTGGACTTGGATCTGTGCCAAATCCATCCTTATTACTCAAACTCTCCCTTATCTTAAACCAGCTGCCTTGAGAGTACTCTGTCATCAAGGTTACTCTCTGCCCTTGAGTGTGGGGATGCCTCTGCTAGCTCCGAGGCCTTTCCTCCATGACATCCCACCTCTGGGGTTATGGGTTGGGCAATGACAGAGCTAGGCAGGAAAGAAAGGGGAGGGGAAACTGAGATGTAAGGAGATGTAATTTTCTTAAGCTGCCAAGGATACTCAGGTCTACATGTACAAATCGTGTGTATACTGACCTACACGACCCCTTCCATTAGAGGACTGGGCCATAGCTCCATAGCACAGTGGCTGCCTGTCATGCCTTTGAAGCCCTCTCTGGCTTCAATTCCCAGCACCGCAGAACAATGACAACAGACCATCTCATGGATAGCACTTGGGAAAACCTGATGTTCTCTCTTCACCCACTCAGGATGTTAGCAAGACTTCCTGTAAAATCGCCTGTTTTAATTGTTTTAAGTTTAGCTGCAAGCTCGGCCCCATGAAGCCCCAGCTTGTTTCGGAGAAAGGTCTAGAACTCACATGGTCCTCTTGCTCCAGCCTCTCAAGTGTGTGCACCAAGTGCAGTCCTCCAGCCCTGAAGATTTTAATTTCTATCGTCATCTCCAGGCAAACAGTGTAAGTTTACATATCAACTCAGCCTTCCTCGTCTAACTCTCTGGTGTGAGGCTGACTTGTTAAAGACGCTCACGGTAACAAGACTGTCCCACCTAATTTCATACCGCCTAGAACTCTAATTCACTACTATAGTAACCATGGGAACAAGTTCCATATTTTTTTATTCACCACAATCACATCCTCTTAAACCCAGAGTGAAACCAGCCATTCCCGCTGGCTCAACTATCCCCTTAACCATTGGTAAAAAGATCAATGCCCGAGTTCAAAAGATACTCTAACCCTCACATGATGGTATATGCAGGTAATCTCAGCACTTAAGTACAGGAAGAGCAGGAATTCAAGGTCATCCCTGGCTACGAAGTCTCCAGCTAAGCAAGGCTCCACAACACCCCATCTCAACACCCTCCTATCGGGCTGTAGAAGACATCCTGGGATGTCAAACACCCCAGGATGTCTTCTACAGACCGACACCCTCCCGCCCTTCCTCTTTATTAAGCTTTATATCCAAGCATTTGAAACCTATACAGAAATAACCAAGGTGAGACTAGAAATGCAAGTCGGAATATCTATCTAGATAAACATTTCAAACAACAAATAATGTCTCTCTCCATAAAAGCTTTCACATGCCCGTGAAGTGAGGAGTCAGAGACATTCTGACTACATGCCTTATGGCACTTTCTGTTTCTAGTTGACCATTTCCCAAAAGTTCATATATAGTTCACAGCTACAGGACACAGATGACATTAGGCTATCGTCAAATGAAACCGGCATGTATATTTCAGTACTAGGTCTAAGCTTTTTCAGGCTGATAAGGACTCAAACCTCAAATCCCAACTTATATAAGAATAGCAAAACTCGGGTGTGGCAAAGCACGCCTCGTTCCAGCACTCAGGAGACAGAGTCAGGTGAATCTCTGGGAGCTCCGGGCCAGCCAGGACCACATAGTGAATTCCAAGACAGCCAAGGGCTATGCAGAGGAGCACAGTCTCAAAACTCAAAATCAACAACAAATACGGTTCAGGGAAAATACATTTGTAATATACTTCTCACAGGGGAGAATCTTTCCACTGAACTAGAACCCAATATCCTGCTAAAGGTCAAGGAACCTCTTATAGGATTGTTAAGACTAGCAGCCACAACTGGGGCAGAGGCAGGGGTAGGGAGGCTCCTGTTATACTAAACTTGAGTATGATTCCCTACCCTGTCCCCCCTTTCTAAGATACTGTGGGTGATTCGCCAATACTATTTTATGGCTCTGTGTGTCCTTGCAATCCAAAATCATGGAAGTGGAAAGGAGGCACTCAATGTAAACCTCCTACTTAAGCTAGGTATTTAAAGAAGGCTCCTTCCCACCCTCCACTCCCCAGGTTTTACCCTTTTACTAACACTAGGTTAGAATTCAGCTTCCCACACGTAAGACCCATCCTAGAGAAGACACAAGAGCTTTGTGAGACCTGGAACATGATGCTGCATTAACTCTCCTCTGAAGGATATCGCCGTTTATAACTCTCCCACATACCGACACCCTGGTTTTAGAGATTTGTAAAATTTAAAGCCACCAAAGAAAAGGAGAATGTGAATCGGCTGGGGGGATTTTTAATCATGAAAACCGGAGGACAAGGGGAACAGTGTCATCTCTTGGGGATAACTTCTAACCTTTCATACTGAAGAATGGTTTCTGTGTCACTCTGCCACTCTCAACCCTTCTGAAAGGGTGAATCAAGACCATAGCACTCAAAGGGATGGATGGCAGGCGGCTGCGTGTTTAGGCCTGTGAAAAGGATCAAGCTAGCAACCGGGACAAGGGATACTCTCATTTTTACACACAACGCCAGATAAAAACGGGAGTCATCGGGCATCAGAGCAGAAGGGAGATGCCGAGTCACCAGTTCCCCTCAGCACCGCTGAGGAACCCTTCAGCCCTCAACCCATTGA